ATTTCTAGCTCAGACCTCTATCCTGAGCTCCAAAGTTAAACAGCCTCATCAATCACAAAAAACTCAGTCCGTCCCGAAACGAAATTTCCGCCTTGCTTCCGCCGTAACTGGGTCAACAGCAACTGCATCCACCAGTCACACCTCCCTTGTACCCGGTCACCAGGCCCCGGAGATGGGCGCCTTCCCCTTTCCCTTCCCAGCTGCCCTTGGCTCAGGCTCTCACCCTCTCTCCTTTCTGGTCCTCCTGCCGGCATCCCTTCAATGATTAATGCTCCAGGGTCCTCTTTCTAAATCCAAAGCTCATCATCATGGATGTTGCTTCCCTCCTTAAGATCCTCCAGCGTCTTCCCCAAGTCCGGGTGAGAGTCCATACTTCCTTACAGCTCTCAAAGTGAGTGAGTGGGTCTCTCTCTCTCTCTCTCTCTCTCTTTCTCTCTCTCAAGGGTCAGTGGTGACCAAGGGTCAGTGGTGACCGGGCCCAATCCCTGCTGCTACTGGAAATTCCAGTCTGCACCCAGACCTCCGCCCACCCAGTGAGCTGCTTCCGGCCTCCTACCCACCGCTTCTTCGGTCTGCCTCTCCTATTAGAAGGCTCAATCATTCGTCATTTATTCAGCGCACACGTGCTGAATTCTGACTATGTGACAGGCGCCGTGCGGGAGTACAGCTGTGGGGACTGGCACCATCCGAGTCGCAAGGAGGCGAGAGCCTAGCAGGTGAACAGCCAGCCAACAAATAAGCCACGGGGACACAGGGTGGGTAGAGGATAACCCCCCAGGGCAGGGCTATTAGAGTGCCTGTGAATTTTGTTAGACCTGCCTCTCCGGCTTCTTTATACACTCAAAGGATTTAGAAGGGCCTCTCCTCTCTGCTCTTTTTTTTTTTTTTTTTTAAATCTGGGAGCTTAAAATGCCTTTCCCTCTGAGATGACATTTCGCCCTGCACTTCCTCCTTCTAGAACTGACAATGCCAGCAAAAACCTAATCTGATTTCTGAATCAGAAATCAGCCCCATCTGCACACAGCCGCTCTCAGGCAGGGCACAGCCGCCCTCTTCCTCCTCAAGACCCCAGCTGCATCAGGGCACCCTAGCCCTTCCCTACCTTTCCCCCTCCTGGCTGAGAACCCCTAGGGAACACCATCCCTGCACCTTTCAATTCCCCACTTGACATCATGCGAGCCTGCAGTGAATGTTTAAGGATGCAAAGGGCAAAAATGCACCCTTTAAACTTTGTTTAATGTTTTATTTATTTCTGAGAGAGAGAGAGAGAGAGAGAAAGAAAGAGAGAGACAGAGAGAGAGAGAGAGCATGAGCAGGGGAGGGTCAGAGAGAAAGGGAGACACAGAATCTGAAGCAGGCTCCAGGCTCCAAGCTGTCAGCACAGAGCCCAATGTGGGGCTCAAACTCACAAACCATGAGATCATGACCTGAACCGAGGTCGGACACTTAACTGACTGAGTCACCCAGGTGCCCCAAAAATGCACCCTTTAAAGGTAAACTACCCTGAACATGGAGCATAACTTTGTGTAACTTCTTTGAATAACAATTGAGCAATATCTATAAAAACTTGAAACGACTCAGAAGTACCACTTCCAGTTAATGTTCCACGTGTGCCCTAGCAGTAGGCATAATAAAAAGCACGCGCAGGGATGGATCAACATTTGCCACAGGGGCTAAAAGTTAGAAGCAAATGTCCAGGCACCTGGGCGGCTCAGGCGGTTAAATGTCCCATTCTTTTTTTTTTTTTCCTAATGTTTTTTATTTATTTCTGAAGAGAGAGAGACAGCGTGAGCAGGGGAGGGTCAGAGAGAGAGGGAGAAACAGAAGTGTCCCATTCTTGATACCAGCCCAAGACATGATCTCATGGTTTGTGAGTTCCTGCCCACACTGCATCAGGCTCTGTGCTGACAGTGTGAAACCTGCTTGGGATTCTCTCTCACACTCTCTGCCCGCCCCCCCCCCCACACCCCACTTGCTCTTTCTCAAAATAAATAACATTTAAAAAGTTTTTTTTTTAATTAGAAGCAAATATCAATAGCCATCAACAAGAGATCTGGGTCAACAAACAATGGCATATTCCTTAAGAGGAAGATCCTTCTGCTAGTAGCTAGGAGGAAACAGGCCTATGCATATTGGTACAGAAAGGTATCCATCTTGGGGCGCCTGGGTGGCTTAGTCGGTTAAGCATCCGACTTTCACTTAGGTCATGATCTCGCGGTTCGTGGGTTCGAGCCCCGCGTCGGGCCCTGTGCTGACTGCCAGCTCGGAGCCTGGAGCCTATTTCAGAGTCTGTGACTCCCTCTCTCTGACCCTCCCCTGCGCATGCTGTGTCTCTCTCTCTGTCTCCTAGAAATAAATAAAACATAAAAAAAAAAAAAGAAAAGAAAAGAAAGGTATCCATCTTGTAGGATGAATCTTACAATTTATTCTAGGGAAAAAACCCATGTTTTCAGGGCAAACAGAAAAGTCTCTGAGACAGCACCCCCACGTTTAATGTCTTGAAGGCATGGGATTAGAAGCAAGGAAAAAGAACCACCCTTTTCTACTATAAACCTCCGATTACTGAATTTGTTCGAGCACACTATTTCTTAAATTTAAAACAGACATGATCGCCAAAGGAAAAAAGATGTGTTTTACTCTGAAGTATACATTATTTCACGAGTTGCTTGTTGAGGAAACAGAGATCATATTTGTACATTCTGAGGGTTTTTTAAAGGCGAAATATTATCCGCTGCTAAATTCCCAGGACCTAGAATACAGACAGGGAACAGGCACTCAGTTAATATTTGCTAAATGACCAACTGCTGAGCAGTTACAAAATAGCTGCTCAGAGGGCACAAAGTATCCAGTAGCCGCTTCCTAGACTCACAGAGGGGGAAAAAAAAAACTCACTTGCAGCGGGATCTTAACAATATGGTTACCAGTCTACATGAGTTGGGATTTGTGTAAAGTTAACTTTTAAAAAGCACACCACTGCCATCATATAGGCAATCTACACACTGCCAAGTTGACCAAGAAAAAGACTCCTTCCAAATCAATTTAATTTCCAACATGGCGCGTGCCTGGCCCTAATACAAGTCAGGAAAAGACATCTGAAAACAGTGTGGGAAAACATGGATCCTGTAAGAGAAAAAAACCACTAATGGGCAAAAAGCCTTAATTTTGATTTATTTAAAAGTGATTATTTGGGGAGGCAATTGACTTTTAGTGTGGATTACTGAGAAGCCCTTCATCTAAACACATCTAATGACCAAACAACCAGCCTATGATCTTTAGATCCTAAAGAATGCCTGGGTGCCTCAGTAGGTTGAGCGTCGAACTTCGCTCGGATCGTGATCTCACGGTTCGTGGGTTCGAGCCCCGCATTGGGCTCTGTGCTGAAAGCTCAGAGCCTGGGGCCTGCTTTGGATTCTGTATCTACCTCTCTCTCTGACCCTCTCCTGCTCACGCTGTCTCTCTCTCTCTCTCTCTCTCTCAAAAATAAAGAAAATCTCTCTCAAAAATAAAGAAAACATTAAATTAAAAAAAAAAAAAAAAGAACACCCCAAAGATGGTAAGCCCTGTATAACTTGATACTGATGGGGGAAGTGATGCATCTGGAAGAATTAAAGACAAACAAGGTTTCAAGGCTTTAAGAAAAGGGCTTGCATACGTTAAAATTTAAGTTCAATTCCTCCCCCCTCCCTTTTTGAAAGGAAGATAGAGAATATTTAACCAAATGTGGATTCACTGGAGAGACTTATTTATATAAATAAGGGCCAAACAGATCTCACCTCACCCCCCTCCTACCCGCTCCAGTTGTACTTTCCTCCCCAGTACAAGGCACTCAATATTTCTTTTGGGACCTGAACCAGAGGTCTACTTATTCCCAAAAGCCCACATACTCCCTGAATTTTTTTTTTTTAATCACTACTGTTAATTCTCAAAATTCCCTTGAGAGGGAGATTTAATCCTCCCTATGAAAACACACAAGGTTCCAAACAGGCTGTCACCAAAACCCAAGAATGCTGAGAGGAGGGAAAGGCTCAAATTCTCCCCCGCCAAATAAATGGCGCTGGTGTTCAGCAAGCCAGTGAGTTAGAGCTAAAAAATGTATCGGCCCTTTCCGGCTGCCTGCCCTGTGCAACCTTCTCCGCCTACCTGCTCTTTAACAACTGGAAATCCATTCTTCCAACGTCTCACCAACACGAAGCATTTCTACCTCTAGCAATGATGGTCTAGATAAAGGTGCCTGAGTTCACTGGGAAATCAACCACCCACAGTTTCCTTAGGGAACTTGTCGCCCAAAGGTCCCGGGCCCTGGTCTTCACCCTCCCGACCCCGCTCTCCCTCTCCCGAGATCAGGGGCCCCGTTTCTCAGCTCTCAGGGATCAGTCTAAGGGATGGAACAGGTGCTCAGAAAGTACCTGATGATGCCATCTCACGGCACTGCAGAACTAGGAGGAAAAAAAAAACTTTGGAAGCCATCTAAAACCCGCACACGTGCTCACGCTGGCTAATAAATAGCCACCGATGATGATGTGTTAAATTAGCATGGTTTCCATCCGAAGGGACCTCGCGGAACTTGGAAACCAACGTCAATCCGCCGCGAAGCCACTCCCGCCCGGGCGCGGGGGGGGGGGGGGCAGCCGTGCCAGACACGCACGCAGCCCACCCCGGGCTGCGGGGGGCGGGCGGCGGGGAGAACGGCGCGCGGCGCGCGAGGGCTGCACTCCCCGCGCTCCTGCCCCGAGGCCGCGAGCCGGGCCGGGAGGGGGAAGGGAGCGGCGCAGCCCGGGCGCCGCGGCCGCCGCGCCGCCGAGGGGGCTCCGTCTCCCTGACAACCGCGCCGGGGCGCAGCCCAGCCCCAGGCCCCGGGGGAAGGGAGGGCAGCCAGGGGACCCCCCCCCCACGCCGCGCAGGGCGGGCGGCGGCCGGGGGCACCTCCGCGCGCAGCAGCCGCGAGCCCCGCTCCGGGTGGGGGGTGGGGGGCACCGTGTCCGGCCGCGGCCCGCGCCTACCGTGTATCCCCGCTCCAGGTCGCTCTCCTCGTAGCGAAAGGACGGGATGTAGACCTCCATGGCCGCGCCAGCCGGCCGGCGGAGGGCGAGCGGGGGGCGGGCTCGCGGCCGCAGCTCCGCCCCCGGCCGAGCGCCCCGCCTCCCTGCCCTGCGCCCCCGGGACCCTGAGGCTGCGCGGCCCGGCCGGGAGCCGCCGCCCCCGCAGCCGCCGCCCCGGCCGCGCGCCGCGCTCCCGGGGACGCGGGGCGGGAGCCGGGGGACCCCGCGGCGGAGGGCGCGGGGCTCGGGGCACCTGGGTCCGGGCCCACAGGGCGGCCGAGCGGAGCTGGGCCCGGAGGAGGCGGGGCCTGCCAACCTGTGAGTCTGCAGAAAAGGGGTGTGCGCGCCTCCGCGCCGGGCGCCGGGACCCGGCCGCACCCGGGCGCTCCCCGTCCTGCGGCGCCGGCCGGCTCGCCGTGTCTCCGGGGCCCGAGACGCCGCCCCCAGCGGCCGGCAGGGCCGCGCGGAAGAGAAAAGCGTGGAGCTCCTTGATTTGGTTTCGGAGGCTCGGGTTTTCGTTTTAACTCTCGGCTGGCATTAGCCGCACTGAACCCTCCAACTTTTTCCCGAGCTTTTCTAGTTGCCTTCGAGTCCAAGGTCAGCGTCTGGTTCTGAGTTCGCCGGCGACGCTGGGAATGGCTTTGTAATACAGAACCCGAAAGTCAGCGGGGCGCAGAGCCCAGCGCTCTGGCTTCTGGCTCCACTTCTCAAGTACTGCCTCTGACTGTGGCGTTTTTACTAGAAGACAGAAGACACACTCGCGAAGGAGAAAAGAGAAGAAAGAAAACAAGAAAAGGAAAGAGAGGGCCGGAATCTGGCCTTCATGAAGACCAGGACCAAGTAAGCTGAAGTATCTAAAAGATGAAATGTTCCAGTTGAGGAAATTTGATAATCAGATTACCTTTGCAAATTCTTTTGAGTTTTCTGCCTTAGATTAAAGCATGGAGGGGCGCCTGGGTGGCTCTGTGAGCTAAGCATCTGACTTTGGCTCAGGTCATGATCTCCCTGGCTTGTGAGTTTAAGCCCCACGTGGGGCTCTGTGCTGACAGCTCAGAGCCTGGAGCCTGCTTCGGATTCTCTGTCACCCTGTCTCTCTGCCCCTGTCCCGCTCACGCTCTGTCTCTCAAAATTAAATAAAGGTTAAAAAAAATCATGGAGCAGAATAGAAACTTGTAGGTGACTTGTGGGTCACACTGTAAAGTAACCGGCCAGTGAGCTTTGGGGTTGCAGGCAATCAGCTTCTTCGTCTTTTAAGTTTATTTTAAGTCATCTCTACACGTTAAGTGTGGCTTGACCTCACAACCCAGAGATCGGGTCCCACACTCTATGGACGGAGCCAGCCAAACGCCCCTAGACAGCTGCTTTGCTCCGGAGGCCAGGGGGCATTGCAACCTGGTATGCTCTGAAGTTGATGCTGAGCCCCTAAGTCCTGGGAGAAGAGGAAACATCGGACCTTTTGCTTCAAGAATGTGCCCATGGGGACCTGCAAAACCCTCCAATTAGGCTCATCTGAAGACCTGTCTTGCTGACCCACGCACTTGCAAATGCAGCTGCCACTCAGAACTCCATGCCTCAGCAGAAATCTGTGCCCCGTGACCAGACTCCTCTTCCTCTTTTCTCCTGCTGGCCAGCACCAGCTCATGTTTGGAACAGCTCTGTGGACACCGTGCTGAGTTCAGAGCCTGGCTTGTAGGCTCTGTTAAGTCGCTGGTGACTGTCACCGTGTACTGTGTGATTCATTTCCCTGCCTCACCCATTAGGTTTGAGGGCATGTACCTTTAAAAATACTTTTTATCCCCTGCTTGGCATTTTGCCTGGCACATTTTTCTGGAAAGCCTTGCATAAGCACTTACTCAATCTTTACAAAGCCAGCAGAATGCAGCAGGTACTATGCAAGATGCTCTTACCTACCGTGTCTCAGTATTAAGCTTTCTAATAACCGCGCATGAGGAAGTGTGATCTGTGTAGGACTTTAAAGGACTAAGACGTAGTGTTTCTGGGTTTTTGTAATTTTTGTTATTTTTTTAAAGTTTATTTTTATTTCTTTTGAGAGAGCAAGCAAGTGGGGGAATGGCAGAGAGAGAGGGAGACGAAATCTCAAGAAGGCTCTGTACTGTCAGCACAAAGCCCTAGCACTGGACTCGAACTCATGAACTGTGAGCTCATGACCTGAGTCGAAATCAAGAGTCTTTTTATTTATTTATTTATTTATTTATTTAAATAATGGTGAGGTGCCAGTTTGGCTCAGTCAGAAAAGCAGAGGACTCTGGATCTCAGGATTTTGAGCTTGAGCCCCATGTTGGGTATAGAGATCACTAAAAAAAAAAAAAAAAAAAAAGTGAGTCTTAAAGTTTAAAAAAAAAACAAAATAGGAGCGCCTGGGTCGGTTAAGCATCCAACTTCAGCTCAGGTCGTGATCTCACAGCTTGTGAGTTTGAGCCCCATGTCAGACTCTATGCTGACAGCTCAGAGCCTGGAGCCTGCTTTGGATTCTGTGTTTCCCCCTCTCTCTGCTCCTCCCTCATTCACACTCTGTCTCTCTCTGTCTCTCAAAAATAAATTAACATTAAAAACAATTTTTTTAATAAAATAATAATAGCTGCTCATGGCAGAAGACCAAAACAATTTCCAGACTGGTTGACACAGCTTATTAAAGTCTCAGTGGGTAGGGGTTCCTGGCTGGTTGAGTTGGCACAGCATGTGACTCTTGATCTCAGGGTTCAAGCTCCACATTGTGTGTGGAGATTAAAAATAAAATCTTTAAAAAAAAGTTTCAGTGGGTAACATAACCCAGATGATGCAATCATAAAATCCTTGTGCTAGAGATTGCTGGTCAAGCTTTGAGCATGCTTTCTCCCCTCTCCTTCCCCCAAAGCCTGCTAGTAACCTGGCATATACACTTTGCTCTGCAATGGCTCACCTGTTTACCTGTTGAACGTAACAGGCAGCAATGTGTGGATCCTTGAAGATCTGACAGAATGGTCCAAGTGAAACCTACTTGTATTCTAATAGCTGTGTATAATTTAATTTTGCCTTGCTGAAAATCTGTGCAAGCTCTCAATACATGGGCGTGTTCTTGGGGTCTATCAGCTGAGCCATAAGTGGTAGAGGTGTAATTTCCGTTATTATAGATGGCGTAACTGAGGTTCAGAGAAAAGAGTTATGAAATTACTAGCTAATAGAAGGGATAACCTTTTTTAAAGAGCTAAATTTCTTTTTTTTTTCTTTCCTTTCTTCTTTTCTTTTTTTTTTTTTTTTGATGAATAGGAAAAGGGAGAGACAGAGTGTGCTTGGGACCAGAAAAAGGACAGAGGGAGGGGATTACTAGCTAATAGAAGGGATAACCTTTTTTAAAGAGCTAAATTTCTTTTTTTTTTCTTTCCTTTCTTCTTTTCTTTTTTTTTTTTTTTTTGAGAGAGAGAAAAAGGGAGAGACAGAGTGTGCTTGGGACCAGAAAAAGGACAGAGGGAGGGGAATAGGGAGAATCTTAATGGAGGCGGATGCAAGGCTTGATCTCAGGACTGTGAGATCATGACCTGAGCCGAAACCAAGTCAGATGCTTAACTGACTGAGCCACCCAGGCACCCCTCAAGAGCTAAATTTCTAAATCAATTCTGTGAGGAAGCACTAAGAAGGGGAGAAAAGAATAGCACTATATAGAATGTGGCAACTGTATTATTCTGTTGTTCCTACATAATTTTTAGACTGACTCTACAATCTGTGACAAGCCAGCTAAATTTTTTTCCCAGAACATTGATAAAAATACATGGCAAATATATATGTAAGACGTTGAACAGTCAGTATCTGTTAATAAAAGCAAAAATAAGGGGTGCCTGGGTGGCTCAGTCACTTGAGTGTCCCACGTCAGCTCAGGTTGTGATCTTACTATTCAAGAGTTTGAGCCCCGCGTCGGGCTCTGTGCTGACAGCTCAGAGCCTGGAGCCTGCCTCAGATTCTGTCTCTGTCTTTCTCTGCCCTTCCCCTGCTCATGTTCTGTCTCTCTCTTTCTCAAAAGTAAATGTTAAAAAAAAAAATTTAATAAAAAAAGCAAAACACTTACATAAACAAAATAATAAAATTCTGCCAGAAATCAGGTATAAAATTCTTACAGTAAAAATACCATATTTACCTAGTAAATTAGGTAGCAATATAGTTCAGCAATAAAAACTGCTTAAAACACCAACTTATATTAGTTTTTGACCCAAGTTCAAGAGCTGAATGCTCTACCAACTGAGCCAGCCTGGCGCCCCTATATTAGAATTTTTGACCGATATCTATCAGGAATGTATTACATATTCAACATTTAATTATAAGCCTAAAATATCATGACTAAATAAAATTTATCCCAGCAACATAAAGGTGGTTAAACATTAGGAAATCTGTTGATACATTTCTTAGCATTGTCATATTAGAAAAGAAAAAAAAACAAATGAATATTTCATTGAATCCTAAAAAATCATTAATAAATCAGTGTACTGCTTCCTAATGATTCTTAGCAGGCTAGGAATAGCTAGAAACATCTTTTTTTCTTTTGAAGTTTTTATGTATTTACTTAGAGAGGGAGGGAGAGAGGATCGTGTGTGTTAGTTGGTAAGGGACAGAGAGAGAGGGGGAAAGAGAATTCTAAGCAGGCTCCAGACTGTCAGCACAGAGCCCAACGCATGGTCCTGATCTCACAAACCATGAGATCCTGACCTGAGGTGAGATTAAGAGTTGCACACACTTAACTGCCTGAACCACCCTGGTGCCCCACCTTTAGGTTAATATCGGTTAACAACCATAATCCCACAGCAAATCTATTCAGCATCATATGAGGAGGCATTATAACAGCACCGATAAGTTTATCACAACTATTCTTTCACATTTTGCTGGAACCCTAGCCAGTGAAATAAGACACATAAAAGACCTAAGAGATACAGATATTAGATAGGAAGAAAGAAAACTAAAGTTATGTGAAGATAAACCCTACATAGAATAGAGTCAACTAAAAAATTATTAGAATTAGTAAAAGTTTCATAAGGCGCCATATCTGGTGTTATATCTATATCTATATATCAATATATAATGGCATTAAATTAATATATA